AAAGATGCTGCTGAAAGCTAAGCTCTTATTACCTTCATAAAATTCATCCACAAGCTTTGACAAATCTTGAGTCATCTATGGGTGAATATTCTGTAGAAAACTTTCCATATTTTAAAAATTCTATCACTGTGCACGTTCTCTGTCTCTCTCCAAGAATGCCAGGAACATAAGCACAATTAATGGTAATAATTTTATCTTCCCCAACAGTCCACCAAATGGTTTATCCTGGACTTTAGTGTAACACGGTGTCTGCATCCCACTTCCTACTGAGCAGCATCTTATCATTTATGGTCAACTCATTCAGGCTAGAATTAAACAGATTTTTAAATATATAAAACATATCTTCCCAGGCAAGCATAGGCATCATTTACTAAAATATTATTGCAGGAAATACATTCAAGTATAATGGGTATCACATACTCATTTATAACTTTTATTAACATTTTCATCTATTTTAGCTTACAAAATCTTTTTTTCTGTGATATATTCATACACACATATACATAATTTATATATAAATATATATAAATAAACTACATGCATATTCTATTAACATAGACACAAAGCATAAAACATAAAATAAACATAAATAAAATGACAATAAATGCATTGTATATTGACATATATGCATTGACTTGGCTAAGAGTTCAGTAAGGACTTGTGCAAGACTGTATTGCATTGTTGTACTGATTATTTTCTGGTCCCATAAAACTAAATGCACATCACTGTGTGCTGAATGTGTAACAAGAATTGGTAATCCAGAAGAGCAGAAAGAAAAGTCTTAACTTGTCCTGTTTCTGTTGCACAACTTGGAACTACTGTCTGCAATGCTGAAACAGAGAGGTATTAACTGCATACCCCAGGGGTGCATAGCCCTGAACCGCAGGCGTAATCTGACCCATTGGGCTGCCCAACTTGGCAGGATCAAATCTGAAATCAAAGATAACAGCAGGGATTCCCCTACCTGCAGGTGTGCCAGCAAGAGAATCCCACTGCTATATTTGAACTCAGATCATGCAGAGATGCAGGTGGCTGTCGCTTGGCAGTCACTTTATTCAGCATGGCCCAAATAGCTCAGCTGAGTTTGGAGTTTCTTGGGCTGTCCTCTTTCCAGAAGGAAACTACGCAAAGCTGGAGACCCAGCCAGTACCATAAGGGGTATCTGCTCTTCAAGTTCTTTTGTCCTCGCTTGAAGGAGGCATGGAATCTCCCTGCCTTGTTCAGCATGGAGAGAGATAGAGGAACACCGTGAGTAGGGAGATCAAATCGGTGGGCAGGCTCATGTCCACTTATGTCATCCCCACTCATGTCATCTGGCCAAAGCTCAGCCAAAGCAATTCTGAACCCTGACATAAGCCATAACAAGATGTGCTTAAGGTCACTGAAATCACAGATCACAGAGGAAGGTAACATTCTAATGATAAAATAATCAAGCACTTTTACAATAGTAAAGGCAACTTACAGACCAAAATAATGCTATCAACATAATCCAAAAAAAGCCACTAGCTTTTCGAGATCAATGGGTACATTTCGAAGAGATGGTAGGTGGGGTGCTCCTGAAAAATGGCTGCCAGACCCAAGATTCTAATTCGGGACAAGCTGGCAAGAGTAAAGTAACTCGCTCAAGAATGTCTGCACAAGGCAGAGGTGGGGGCTGAATTACAAAACAATATACCACTCTTTTGAACCCAAATAGAAATCACGCTGCAGGGCAAAACTTTGCTCTGCAACCTCCCAAGGTTTTTGATTTGATTTTTTATTGTTGTTGTTCTTAAACTTAAAATGAGTTGGGTTAGGGAACATGGAAGGGTCCAAGAAAGGTGTCTGTGGGCACACTGTTGCCAAGTATATCGTAGTGACCCCAGCACTAGCCAAATCAACTGTGTTTCATTTCCCAAAGCTTAAGAATTCCCAGACCTCGTGCAGAAAGCAATTCGCTTGCACGGGTGGCTAATTCAGTGCATTCCCAGATGAACAGGTTTCAACTGTTATCCAAAAGTATTTGAATTATTTTTTTCAAACTGGTATTGTTTCACTTTTTGCTATTTAATTGAACAGCTCCTAGGTCTCCTACTGAATAAAAGCCAAATACCTAGCATTCGGGACTTTGAAAGCAATTGCTCATATTTTGACATTTGAAATTTGCAGGTTTGAGTAGTGCCTGAGTAATGAATTACAAATCATAGCGGTATTTGTTAAGATTTGTGTTCATTCATTAAAATGGTGAGGCTTGTCTTTGAAGAGTGGTTGGTTTTGTTTGCTATTGTTAATAACCAACAGCAATATTAGTAAAAATCACATAGGTGCTGTTACATTAGGACTGCATTTCTCTGTACATTCTTAATTACATTGGATAAATTGGAAAATGCCCACAGAAAAGCTAATCATCATTATCATCATAATCATCAGCAGTGACAATAAGAACAACTAAAAGAATGAGCAATTAAACTAGCAAAATAATGAAACAATAATATTAATAAGTCCCACTGGAACATACTTTCCTCAAAGTAAAACATCTATTTCATGGCAATCTGGAAGAATGAGACACTCACATTGTTGATACACTGTCAGTTTCTCAGACCACTCTGCAAACTTCCTGCTTTTCTTTTAATTGTAAAATCTTATTGATATGCAGCATATAATAAGTTGCACAAACTACACATAATGTTGAAGCTCTACAAATTTCTGGGATTTACCATCATCCACTCGACTTGTGCTGTTGGTTTATAATGATTCCAGATTTTAGAAAAACAAGACACAGTTACTCAATTTACAGTCATGTTAGTATATCACTATTTCCAAATATTTTTCCTACAGTTGGTAATTCTGCTGTTTTGTCCCTCCTTCATGATGGAAAATTCTACTAATATTATCTTTGCTGGTAACAATCTCATCCGGTCTCTCTTTCTCTCTCTCTCAATTAAAGCAAGAAGGAAATTATGATTAAACACAAGTCTGCAAACCTTACCTTTAGTGGTTTGGAGTCTCAATGAGTATATCCTACAGACAAGAGTGAAAAAGAACCGGCTTTGTCAACACTCGGTGGCAATAGATTTCCCCCCAACCAAATAGATCTATTCTGAAAGTTTTCAACATGCGTTGAGACAGGATAAAGCTGTACTCTTCTAAATTGCAAGGTCCAGAAGAATAAAGAATTGCCTGGTACTTGAGGGAAACAGAATATTTCTGCACAGTGACTATTTAAAGACTTCATGCCTTCAGGATAAATGCTTGGACTGTGTTTTCCTGTTTGTGTCAGGACTTAAAACCTTCTATGCACTTCCTCAGAAAAGAAATAAAAGCTCAATCAGCTGCTAGTAGCCCTGGAGATTCATAAAAGCCCTTCTTGTGAGAGTGGAACTAACAGACAGAAATGATTTGTTTTTTTTCTCGCACTAGAAGGCTAGATGTCATTTGCCATTAACTTTAAAAAACGGAGGCGGGGGATAGTGCCCCATCCTGCACTGAGGAAGGCCGCATTAACATTGTCCTGCCACAAAACTAGCACACAATACATAGAAGTTGAGAATGCACAAAATGCACAACATGCACTGAGGAAGTACCTTTATAAAACCAAACATTTACAATCATGCTTTGGGGAAATCTCTCATGTAACAAGGCAAAACTACTATAGTTATCTGGTTTGGGGTTCAACCTCTGCAAGTGGTAATAATAATATACAAAAGGTGATGTTTAAAGTAATATGAAGTTTTGTGAGAATGAGAAATGAAGGCCCTTGTTGACCACAGAGAACTTTAATTAGTGGCAGCCAACAGAGAACTAGAAGGAATTCTTTTTATGTTAGTCGGTAGTCAGCCTCCAGTCTGCCCTGAGAAAGCCTGGGCCCCTGTTTACCTGGAACAGCCTGGGGAAACCTACAGGAAAATGTGTTGGGAAGAGGCAATGGAGTCAGCTCCTGTTAGTCTTCCTGCATCCGAGAATCTGCCAGCGTTTGCTGGGAGAACCTGCTGGCAGCATCCTGGGAGACAATCAGATGGACGAAGTTATTCCTAGAAATAAAGGTGGGCCTTCCTGTGGCTCCTGGCACCACCACTATGGTCTTCCTCCTTCTGTCCTTCCTAAACTGGCTAGAGTGCTATGGATACAATTGACCACTGGTTGACAGGGATGAAATTATACCTGGGGAGCACAAGTGTCCAGTCCTTCTCAGTGATATTGCTTTCCCTACAGCAAAATATTGGCATGGTGCTCTTCCATTGCTGGTTTTTGTTATTTCACTGCCACGACTGCCTCCAATTGGAGCAAGATAGACATTAGGCCAGATCCAGTTTGGGGAACAAAGGCGATGCATGCCACAAACCAAATAAAATGAGATGCCCATGGGAAAGCACAAGAGTAGGGGAGACAAGCCTTGGTCAAGCTGAGGGCAGAAAGGTTCAACTTTCACAAAAGATGCTAGCTTGGAGATCAATTTGCAGCAGTGTTGAAAAAGTTTTCAGAACATGGTGACTTCAAGAAAGGCTCTTAACTGTGCATTAAGAGGTAAAGTGAATGCAAGATGCACACTGAAGAGGACAGAAGAAATATGCTGTTGAAATTGGCAGTAGATGGGGGAAGAGAAGCTAGAGATGCAGCAGAACTCCAAAGAAACGCTAGAAAAGAATCAGGAACAGCTGCTGTATGAAGCAAGGGATAACTTGCTCATGAGCCAAGTCCCTGATATTAACCAGAGAAAAAATCCTTTTCTGGCCGACTGTTGTTTCTAAAGTGTACACTGTACACATAGTGATAAAAGGGTACATATTAAATATTTATGTAGCACTTCAAAGAATAGAAATCAATTTAAAAACTAATTTAAAATACAAGAAATAAGAACCACCCAACCTGTTAAAACCTCCTTCTCATAGCAGTATTTGCCCATTTGAAATAGCCAAGAAATCTATTATCTCTTGCATATCACTGAAATTCTTTGGATCATATTTGCCCAGGAAAGATTACCAGACAAGTAGTAAATTATAATGCCTCACAGTTTTACTTACAGGAATACTGAATGACATTTGATGTATCACCTCTGCACCATACGATCCAGCCACCAGAAGACTGATGGAAAGATTTGTGCAGACTTTGAAATGAATCCTGAAACAGATGGCAGGTGAAAGCAGATATTTATGACAAAAACTGGCATGCTTCATACTGGCATATCACAGTGCTGCACATGTGACCACTACCCAATCAGCTGTGATGTTGTTTATGGGAAGAAGCCTACAATCATGTTTAGATTAGTTGAGACCTGATTTGTGTATACATGTCAGGAGTAACAGTTTAGTCATGCATATACAAGAAGCGACAATGCATCTTGTCATCTATAACTGGAACAGATAGTGTTAGCACAGGACTGAAGGAAGTGATTGAGTAAGGGCATTCCCTTACACAGACCATCAGCAGTCCCAGGAGGGCTGGAATCCCACATTTTTTAGCGGGGCATCTGCCTCCACATCTGCTTCCTAAATAAAGGTATACAGGATCTCCACTTATCTTCGTTACTGTCATGAGACAGGGTTCCTTCTTTCACACATTCAAAGCCATGGACCTTTCTTCCAAAATGTTGATTATCAACCAAAGCATATTCCAGAAGCACAAACTCCCAGAAAGGATCTCTGAGTATGCGCAGAGCAGTTTTTTGAACCCAATCTAGTATTTACTTCTAGAAATTCTCCTTATGAGTATTCATAAGGTCCCATCCTTTCAGGAGGGTTTTTTTTTTGGGAAAGGACCACATCTCTTCTCTGTACACTGATCCTCTAATTGGGCTGCCCTCCTTTGCTGAAGTCACTTCATGGGGTCACTCAAGAGCCATACCCACCTTGTCTGTCTTTGAGGAGTTTCCCTGTTTCAAGCCCCATCTCGCTAGCTATGCATCTTAGTTATTCTCAGAGGTTATTCTACACACCTGCTGATTCTGGCATTGAAATAAGCATTTCCACTTCTCTCATCTCAGCGTCTGGAATCAACCTGCATTCTGAGGCCCCTCCAGCTCTTCCCCCTCCTCCTCTGATTCCCAATCTGCAGACCTTCAGAAAACATGCTAACTGCAACTGTCTTTCTCACTCCCAAGTGTCACATACGATGCTTCTTGATAAGAGGAGTTCTTGTCCACATGTGAACTGGCTCACTTGAAAAGTCATCATGCTGGGAGTGATCAGTGCAAAAAGAAGCGTCTACCCCAGCACCCGTTGCTGGACACCATGAAGAAAGACACTGAGATGGACATGGTGGTCTTGAAGGAAGCAGTGCGAGACAGAGGGGCATGGAGAGCAATGATTCATAGATTGGCCAAGGGTCGGACACAACTGAATGGTTGATGAGGACTACGTTTTCTTTCCTGCTATCGGTCCCTCCTACTCTGCATCTTTCTATCCAACCCTTTTTATACATATGGGTGCCCTTAGGAGACGGTTCTTTAAAATGGATAGCCAAACGTACTTCAGAGCTTATGTACATTAGTATTTGTAAAATTGTGCTTTTTGGTTTTTTGGGGTTTTTTGTCCTGAGCCTTGGATCTATTCAGTTTGTAGCACTAATCCCAATTAAAGTGACGAAACAAATGGAGTTCCACTATTTTCCATAACCAGTAATTTGTTATATAAAGTCCATCTCCTGGTATGATTTGGTCCCCTCGCATTGTTTATATGGAGCTCAGTGCTAAACTACATGTTAGGCTATCCTGTCTCTTTTCTTCTTAGGGCAGACACAGACAAGGATCTTCTAAGTAAGACCTTTATTGTGATAATGCAAACTAGTAAAGCTGTCTGGAATGTACATGTGAAGTCTATTGTAGACACCGATAACAAAAGAAACAAATCTAGGTAGAAGTCTCCCTGCTTAGCTCATTAAGGGAGTGTGGTTTCATGGTATGAATTTGATGACTAAGGCCCTCTCCTCCCTTCCAAACTCAAATTACTAACACCTTTAAGGCGGATTTTGTTGGTTCAGAGCCAACTGCTTAGAATACTTGACATTTCTTAGTTGATCTGCCTTGTTCTTCTTCTCACCCTGGGATTAGTTATGTGCATTCCCCCATCTTCAACCAGTTTCCTCAGGTTTCCCTGGTATCTGAGGCTATCTGACTTTCTTCTCCCATGTGGGTGATCTCTGATTCTACCATCACTGGCATTGTAATTGTATAATCCAGCTAATTTAAATACTGTCTTTTTGATACATAATGCAAAGACTTAGTTATGAACAAAACCTTGTATGTGTATCTTCCTATAATTGTTTGCATTAACATTAGACTCAGTGGTCCATCATCAGAGATTTATTGATGGAAAGGTTTTACCTAACTCTGGGATATATTAGAGCTAGTACTATTTATCAGGCATGCCTGTCATCACAGCAATGTGACATCATTCTGACACTATTGGAGAGAAACAGAGATGTAATGAAAGCCAGAACAATAATGAAGAATACTTTCAGAACAGACTATTGTTATATAGTAAGTCTTTAATATATATTATTAAGAAACAGCTGGATTGACTGAATAATTTGGGTAAAATCCAACATAAATTCTGCTTAAAGTAGACCAATTGAAATAAATGGGACTCGCGTTAGTCATGACTAACTTCGTCCCATTCATTTTAATCAGTCTCTAGGTAGGACTAATATTGGGTTTAAACTTTCATGTTTATAATTAATTATGTTGCTATTTTGTAGGTTCCCCTGTTTTTTACTTTACTGGAAAACTTTGACGAGAGAAGCAAACTGAATTACAGATTCTAAGTAGGAAAATATGCTGCTGTTATTTGTGCTTAACCCCAAGTTTGTGCTTAACCCCAAGTCTGTTCAAACATAAAACCAACCATGCAAGGAAATAATGTTCACAAAGCATGGGAAAAATGAAGAAAGATTGCATAATATTGTGGGATTTAAAAAGTACTGCTTTAAGATGTAATATGTCTTCAGAAGTGTTACTGTATATTGTGAAAGAGCTGCTAAATTCCCTATTCTTAAAGAAATGACAATCTTTACCATAAGTAAAATGAAATTGCATTCAGAGATTACCTTGACAAATTAATTTGCTTCTTTGGAAAACTGGTCCCCGAACTAATTTCAGTAGTGAATATTTTACTCTCCCAATCATAGTTCTAGCATTGCATTATGAGGAAAGGAAAAAGGAAAAACAAGCATGCATAGTGATATACATGTAAATACTGAAGACTGTAATGTAATTAGGTGGGCCAGAATGCAGAATATATTTGGTATGACATTGATAAGATTTTTGTTTTCATTGGACACCCATAATCTTTTTGTAAATACAAATTTAAGATTTTACTGCTGGCTTTCCACAAAACCAGAGGTGTTTGATTTCTGCCCTTGCCATCAGTGAATTCTAGCCAATTGAAGAAACAAGAATCAAAATGTGTTGAAAAAATAAGTTTTCACTGATTTTTCTGTGTCGTACTTCTTTCTGCAATAACAAAGCTCTATCTGGGTGGCCTATTTCAGGCTTTAGGTTAGGACTCACAGGACTGAATGGTTCTCTGAACAATGCCAGGAAGCAGTGAAAGGTGCACCCACCCAGACCAGACTGCTTGCTCCCTCCATATGGGAAGATGGAAACTTCAACTACCCCTCACACACGCCTGTCTTTCTGTTTGGAGGATGTACTGTTGATTCTGAATGGTCCAAAGCAAGATCTTCTTTTAAAACATAAATAAAAGCAAGTGGAAATGTCCAGGGGTGCATCAGAAAGGCAGTACAATCCTGGAAAAAGAAATAACTACAAGGAATTATTTAAGATTGAATTGGTTTTGTCTCATTGTTATTGTAAAATAGGGTTGGCAGCTAATTAGTAACAAAATATTATGGTCATTTGAAAGGATCTCTCTCTCTCTCCAGTTGCCCTAACTTATTTTTCTCTCAGCTATTTGTTTAGACTACACAAAAACAGAAAGCAAAGCCACTTCAGCCTGCTCAGCCTTCACTTCCTGCCCTGTCCTGGGTTCCATTATTTGGTTCTGCTCTTGGGCTCAATTCAGGTAACACATTTTCATTTAAGAGTTGTCAACTCTCCTTTGAGTGTTTTTGGTGCCAGTATCTGGTTATGAACCCTCCCTTGAAGCTTGCTTGTCTAGCATCATTACAGCTATTATTCTAGGCAACAGACCAAGTCCATCCTGTCTTCTCAAGTTCTTAATGGCATTAATCTTTCTGTGTTTAGTGTTTTTATCTGTTCTGAGTTTGCTGCACTATGGATATTTTACTTTGATTTATGTTTAGTTGTAAGCTGCCCTGAGGGCTTTTGTAGTGTAAAGGTAAGAGTAGTGGAAAGTGGAAGATGTAGGAATTGCTGTGATGGAGAACAGATGAACTAATCCATTTAGTTATAGCATGTTATACTGCTCTTTACCCAAAAAGACTTCCAAGGCACCTTGCAAACATTTTTTAAGGCAGTTGCTGCCTGGCTTGCGATCTAAAGCAATCTAAAGCATAGGCTGCAAAAAGAAAGTAGTTGAGGAAGGAGTTTATCAACAGCAAATTCAGATGCTAGATTTTCACTTGCCAAGTTCAGTTGATCATAGATACATTGGAATGGCTACAGCTTTCTCAGTTCCTGATGGCCTTATATAGATCCTGGCACAAGAGAGGGGTGCTTGACTACTGCGGCTTCTCCCTGTCATTCTGAACAAGGCTGAAGTATTTGGGGCCAGATTTGTGATGAGATTAGGGAAAGGCCGAATGGGGACTAGGACCTGAAACTCCTGAGCTTCAGTCCCATATTTCAATTGTTCAGACTTCAGCTGCAATTCTCCTGTGAGGTGTCAGTAAAAATATTTGATCAGGTCAACCACAACTGAAAAATATCTATCTGAGAGTTCCTGTTGACATATTCAACAAGTATATTTTAGAGGTGATGAGCCTATCCTACCTCCTTCAAACACCACTACTTATAACTTTAAACAAGAAATATTTACAACAGTTGTAGTAATTCAGAATCCCAATGTTTCATTTTTTTATCATTCATTGAATGATAAAGGGCATAAAAGTTCTAAGCATATTATTCATTATTCAAAAGTCTAAGCATATTCACTTTGCTAGTTAGCTTTTGCTTCCAGAAGCATAACAACCATCTTTATAGACAACCCTGTTATTGGAGATCTTAAAAATAAACCGAACAACCTCCACTTCTGATCATTTTCTCTTTCTTCCTACTCAGTAAAAAGTAGCATTCAGATTTCTGCATCTTTCCTGGTGCTTCCTGGTATTTTTCAACAACCTCTGTTGTTAGAAACACCAAGTTTAACTGGCTCTATCATGATGTCCATCACAGCTGATAGACCCTGTAACTTTTCATTAACAGATTCAACCATTTGCAGATACAATCTCTTCTAACATTTGAATGACATAGTCTTTACTACTAAGAATTTCAGAAGCATATCAAGTCAAGGAATAATCAAATTGCTATTAATTATCTGATACATTTGTAACATTTGCTCTAGAGGTCTCCCTCTGAAAAATTGTATTACTAGCCATTGTAAGTTTTGAAATACAGCTCCTTGTGTGATCAGATAACACTCCTTTCTTGTTTGCACATTGTTTCTCATTAGTTTCTTCTTCTGAAAACGTTTGAAACTATTTGTTCATGACCTTTGTCTTGCAACAATGTTAGTTCTGCATAAATTAGACTTCTACCACATGGCACTCTCAGATATGGAAGACTACAACTCTCATGCCCAGTTAGCATGGCATAAATGATAATTCACGCTGCAATTTATTCATTGTGCCTTACAGGCTGTTACTTTCCTCCCACTGGCTGTGTGCGTCTTACTTTCCATTTTGTATTTCTATGACTTCTGCTAAATTACTTCTAACTGCTCTAATTATCATTAACTGAGGGATTAATTGCTCCAGAATGCATACAAGTATGGCACATGAAGCATTATTAGCTGTAAATAATTATATTATTTTAAACTAATCATATGTTCAACTCACCATATCAACAAGATGCACTTAACAAATAGAGATACTTATTTCGTTTCTCACTCTGCTAAGCTACTTGAAAGAACAGTTTTATATAAATATATTAAATAAAATAGGATGCAAGGAGTTAATTTATATTCTTATCACTCCTAAAGTTGGGAAGACAATTGCATCCCTTCTCATAATTACAGCCATGCAACCAACCCATCGGCACACAACCAGCCCATTCAGAGACATAATTCCTAAGAATTTTTCACAGTGCTGCCATTGTTTTGAAGACAGTCCACTTCAATTTCTTCAACAATAACTGAACATTTTAAGCACACTTTATTTAGACCTAGAAACATACATGAAAAGTCCAGTTGCAATCCTTGGATGCTGTGA